GCAGTACCTTCAACAGTCCCTCTATTTTTCTACGTCCCCACTCCCTACCCAGTCAAGTCTTCCGTTTTGCACTGGTGTCCAGTCCTCTCGCGATTCTAACCGCGAGTACGATCAGATAAAAATACGAGAAAATAAAGGGCTCTGAACAGTCTACTCAGGGACCACTGCAGAGTAGCGCTGGGTAGTAAGTCAGCGTATATAATTTTGACTCACAAGACAGGGACAAGTCGGGGCATATACATAATAAACAAGTAGAAAATGCGCGAAACAGGGAACACCAATTTTTCACCCGCTTTTGCCTGGCAATACAAAGGCTCACCTTTAGGGTGACACGGGCGAACTGGTAAGCGTAAGAAACACGCGCGAGAGCTCACGCGAATGCTATCCTGGGCAGGGCAACCTCGAGCCCAGAGCTTACTGGCACTACGGTCAGCGGTTGGATGAAACGACCGCTGCTCAACGACAGCGAAGTTATCATTGTCAACACACCTGATTTTGAGAACTTTGAACCAATTGAGATTTTTTAGATATTTCATATTTAACCATTTTCTTTAATAATAATAATGCGAACGAGATGCATTAATTTGGCACATGCTGAGTGAATGTCGATACAGCTTGCTTTTTTACTATCAGTTGGTTACTCGTTAGGCAAGCCTTTACAAGCAAGAAGCCCTCTCTTCTAACGCGCTATTACAAGGATATGAAAAGCAAAACAGGAATAACTATCAAGAGAAATTAAAGCTACACTCACGCTGCGATCGCCAGTTTAATTCTATCATTACATTTAAATATCACTGAAATAGCGCGGCACATTCAAGATCCTCCGTGAGCTGAATTTAAGCGAACGTTGTCGCTTTCTTACCACCAGCCATGCAGAACCTTCCTATTCAACCTAAATACAATCATCGTCAAAATTTCAAATATTCAAATTGCCGTAAACTCCCACACGCATTCAAATGGATCGTGAGATAAATTCCTGTCAATTAATTGCTTCAATCTTCCTTGTACTTTAAATAATAAAAACATATTAATTCGTACTGATATTTCATTACGAAATTTGAAGTATCTGTTTTATTTTTTAAATCCCTGTG